GTATACGCATATGGAAAGTCTATGCTGAGCAGTTGAACAGGAATTGAGTTCTTGTTTGGTTTTGCAGTAAATGTTGATTTGTGTCGTGGTAAAAGAGCTTCAGTTTAACTCTCCTCTCGAGAAATATAGTTTAGAAGGAGATTGTTTTTGGCCCATACTTTTTCGCTCTCTAGCTCTTCCTCTTTGAGTATTTTTTTATTTGCTGAGTTGACTGTGATAACAACTCGCATATCTCCTACCTTCTAGTCAGCTTGAAGCTCTTTTTTTATGTTTTTGAGATTTTTAGTGCGAAGGACTTGAATTGCGTATTCTCTTTGAGGAACTCACATATAGACCCGCGCGAAACTCTCACAGGCATGAAAACTCATGGTAAAACAATTGTAGGAGGAGCACCTCCCATGGATTTGCCGCAATTTCTCATTTCCAGAGAAAATCGAATTGGTAGGGAAATGAATTTTGTTTCTAATAGTTAGTGTAGTGTGCGGGTAGCAGTCGCGGAGCTAAAGGCTTAGTTTGTTTAGGCATTCTTCACATTTCTTACATCCTTGTCCCTCAAAATTTCTAGAGAAGTAGGGAACATAAAATAAACAACGTGGGGAATCTGAAATAAACAACATTCACTGCATTTGATACTAACGCGTTTCAAGCACCGACTAATGTAGAGGAAGTGGGATTTTTCTTCTAGCCGCCGAGTGTTCTGAGCGCGAGATTTGCCTGATTTTTTTGCGGCGGCGAATGTTTTGCGTTAGCTGTGTGGCTGGCTGGCGCTAGTGCTGTTGCCATCGCTGCGTTGGCTGCGTCGGTCGCTGTCTTCTCTCTCATCTCTCTTCGGTGTTTGCTCTGATGTTTCGCGCGCTATCACCCTCAGCCGACTCGTCACGTGTGCTGCACCTTTTTTGTATGTACAGACAGCTGTTTCATTCGCAAATAGACCTATGAAATGCTCTCCGTCTTTTCGCCTGGTCTTTTCCTAGTTTGTCCTCCCCTGTCTGAGCCTCTTCCAGCTTCTTCCCGTTGTTGGGTTTGTTTGACACATTTCTATTTATAACAGCTGTCTGTCCGGACGTTCCTGATACGTTTCCTCATGGCAATGACTTCTGTTGCTATGACCTAAACCAAAGTACAAGGCCATGAGAGAGTGCCTAAGCATGATTTATAAATCTCAAGTCTATCCTCGCCCTCCTCCTATTGATGTCGAAATTGTTTTGCTTCGTGTTTTTCTTTTGTTTCAAAGTCCTCACATTGAAGGCTTTTTAGTAAGTATGATTTTATCAGTGATAGGTCGCATTACTTGCTACTCAATCCGCTTAACAACGAGTACAATCATAGTCGTCAATATCGCCTTAGGATCCTTTCGTGATTTTTATCTGGTCATCATCTTCGTGGTTGCTATTTAAGCCTGTTCACTTCCATACTGAGTTCATCAGCCACTTTGAACAGTGAACCTCTTTCTTATAAGAACGATAAGGTTGTGGCTTTTTTTGGATCGCTGTGGTGCCAGTCGCTTGGAAGGAGTTATGAGCGTGAAAAGAGCAGGTAAAGTGCACCCTGGAAGACACGAGGGCGAGATCTCTTCGAAAAACATGTTTGTTGTGAGAAAAGCTGGCTGTTATTGGGCTATGCCTGATTTGTTAGTGTTTGTACCAAGTTTGATGAAGTGGTGGAAACGCGGATGATAAATTTGTCGAAGTTTTGGTCTGCGAGTTCGGTTTCTGATGTGTTCCGCACCATTAGGTTGTTGACGGGTGTGAGCATGCGATTGCATTGGCCAGTGATGCGTTAGAGTTGATTGAAAGGGTTCACTTGGAGCTGAGACGGAATACGTTGAAGGAAATATCAGCACCACTTTTGGAATGAGAAGTCTTGGACAGCAACAACCGGTGTGAAAACAATTCAGCAAGTCGAAGAGCAGCGGAGATTGGGTTGACTTCACAAATTGTGCTGTTCCACGTTCTTTCCAGCTACATTGAATGAGATTTTGTAAGGATTTTTGTAGCTTTGTTTAAATTAAATGAAAGCTTATTTCTGGGGCATATCGTTCTCGAAAGCTGCATCTCGTTGTGTCGTGTTTATTGACGCTGCTGGTGTTATACATAAGTGATATGCGAGCACGCGATGTCTGCCTCTTCCTCATGAGTCCGCCCACAATTTTTCTCGCGCTGAGGGCACTTGGCGATCGCGTTTTTTTTTCTTGCGTGGCGCTCACTGAAAGTGTTTCCTACGATGTCCAGAAGTCGTTGTCGTCGTTGTGAAGCGACGTCACACAATCGATTCTTCTTCAAAGTTCATTCTGGGCGTTCCCATTTCCCATGTCGCCAGAGCTGTACTTGTCAGACTAAGGCTCTTCCGTTGATTGCGAGAAGCACTGCTTGCGTGGTCTCCATAGCTGTCATGTGACTGTGGCTCTTGAAGATTTGTCTCTACCCCGCCATTTATTGTGGCACATCGTTCGCTTAATATTTAGACATTTGTTTATTTATTAACAAGAGGAACACTTTTGCCGATTTTCATCTAAAAGTTCAATCCGAACACGAGGAAACCTTGAACCCAACCTTAGTTATGCAGCAAATTCCTTACGCTGCGTTTTTGTCGATTTTTTCACTGTTTTTAATAAGTTTTCTGCTGTAAATTCTTACGAACTGCCGTTTTTGTCGATTTTTTTTCACTGTTTTTAGTAAGTTTTCTGCTGTCGCTGAAGTTCTGAAATACATGTGGGAGTTTAGAATCCTCCCATGCACAGTCCTTGGAGTGTTTTTTCTTGAGTGAGATCTTTTTGACATCGATAGCGTCTTTTGTATGTACAGTAGAAGGAGCAGAGCGAAAACAGGTCTGTTAGAGTCATTTGGAGAAGGATCGATTCAAAAGCGAAAGCAGTTTCTGTGGGTGTGCGTTTTTACATGAGAACAGGATTTTTTTGAAGCTAGCAGTTTCTCGTATCCAATAATTTCAGCGCAATTATGGCACGATTCAAACTCCCTTCGTGTCGGCGCAATGCGAGAATATGCGTGTGTGTAGCTTGTGATCGGCTATTTCGTAGCGTTATATAGTTCCAGCACACACAGATTTCATTTGTAGTAGCGGGCAAAGTGTGTGCACTGCTTTGTGATCATTTGATCAAATTGAACTGCGATCCATCCATGGGAACTGTGCTCATTGTGTTTGAAATCAGGTCCTATTCAGAGCGCGCATTTTTTATCGGGACCATTTCCTGTAATGGGAACGCAGTTTAAAATAAGCAGGCAACACAGATCAAATTTTAGTTTCGGGAGTTTTCAGTAGGGTTGGATAGTGTGTTAACGTAGCCTAAGAATATATTGGGTAGCTTTACTTTCTCGCCATTCCCTTCAGTTCATTGGTTATTTGGTTTTTAATAAGTTGTGATATTGCCTACGGAACTCTCACGAGCAAATATGTAGAAATTATTATTTTGCTTTGCTGTTATTATTAGGTAATTTTTGAGAGAAATCTCACGATTGATACTTACCATTAGTATTGTGGTTTGAATTACTCGTTATAATGGTAGATAAGTGAAGAGAAATTGAGAAAACGTTGCAAAATGTTCAAAAGAAGCGGTAAATAAAGAAGCATACGGCATTTCCTGTAATCTCGAACACTTTTAGTATGCGCCATGCACTCTGCAACCACTCGGAATTGTAGTTGCGCTCAAATGTGATTTAGTCTCACAACCACAGCTATCGTTCAAAACGTTGGTTTTACCCTTTCGGTTGGCCTGGGCAGTCCGTTCCTGGATTTTGCGTTCTCTATCATCTGATCGAGAGAAATTTGTGTTATCTGTCAATGCAAAATCTCCACACAATCTTTGTTTACTCAAAAAACTAGCGTATTGGACTAAATGGCCCATTGTTTTTAATAAATGTTTTCTATGGCATTTTGATTGAACTTTCTTAGAAAGCCTGAAGCAAGTTTCCCATGTCAATTTCATTATCACGCGCGCCTTTAACGTGACGGGGATAAGCTCGGCTCACATTTGAAATGTAATCCTGTCTGGAAATTCTCTTTTTTTTTCTCGATTTTCGTTTTCATCAAAACTTGGCGGCCATTGTTTGTTTTGTGAACACTGCTGAAAACTTGGCACTCATTTTATGCACTGAAAAGATCTCACGCACAAGTATCACATGTAACGTTCTCGTTTGCATAGTTGACATTCTGGTGAGATATTTCACATTTCGCTTTGTGTGATATTAGAGGGAAAGTCCGCAACACTTCTAATTTTTGCTGTAATTTTTGCTCCTTACATCCAGTATATTGCATAATCGGCATCTATGGACCACTGACCTCCGCACTCAGTATCTTCTCTATGCCTTCTCGAACTTCGCGCCGACATGTGTGATGAAATAGTGCCGGCTGAAGCCTAGGAGCTACCCTAAAATCCCATAGATAAGAGCGGTTTAATTTACCGGTGAAAAATGAATTGGAATGAAATTGAAATTGAATGCAGTCACCCCTCTAACTTGATGGATGGATAAATAAAAATCGGAGAAGAAGTTTAGAAGAAGCTCCGCCCCTCAACTCTAAACCCCGCCCACTTAATAAACAATTCATATAGAAAAATAGCGATTTTAACGGAATTTCTGCCGGAATCTCTCTAGAAATGCCGGAATTTGATCTCTGGATAGAACTTGAAGAGCCCATTCGATCAGTAAAATTCCATAGATAAGAGCGGTTTAATTTACCGGTAAAAAATGATTTTGAAAAAATATTTTTATTTTTATTTATTTTTTGAAAAAATATTTCTATGGACCGCTCTTATCTATGGGATTTTAGGGTAATAGTGAATTTTTCTTGAAACTTGACCGGGATAATTACGGTGGAGACTGAGTCCTCAGGCGGAGCTTCTGAAATCTTTGGCGAGGCCCATCGCGACATATGAACGCGCGTGGTCGTGAAGGAGATAAACATTGGTCTCGTAACATACGCTCCTGACTTATTGCGTCGGGCAACTTTCTTATTCTTCGGTGTAGATAGATCCGGTGGCCGCCATGGTCCATATTGAGGAGGTTAGGTATGACAGTTATCGCCGACAAGTTCTTTCAGTGGTAAGCGGTCTTTGGCGCAGGTAACCCCGGAGGGAATTGCCAAAAATCGAAAGCCTTGGACACGTCATAACGAAGACCATGAGACAGTTGAGTGACAGTGACTTGGGGAACAATGTGACTGATACTCAGCGTTGCTTGGGTTTTCTCTGATAGCACCTGATTGTGGAGCTTTTGTCGCCGATGGGTGGAAATCTCGGTGGACACTTTACCACATTATACATAACCTATACCCGCTATTGTTCTAGAAGAATTAATGCGGACAAGGAGCGTTCGATTAGCATGGGCTTTTCTTCCGGCCATGTAATGTAGAGGAATTGTTGGCAACTTTGAACTGAATGAGGTGTTTGGTTTGTGGGAATTCTCCCATGATCCGGCGATACCGTTGTCTTCCAATCTGGTTCACGTAGAAGAGCAAAATATTGAGACAGCTCTTCTTTTGTTTTTAAAGCAAGAAATGGACTATTGACATTCGTCGACTATGTACATATTATGTATGTTGAATGATTGCGGCGTTTCATCGTGGTCGTTTTCATATGATATATGCGTTGTTTTTCTTGAGGCTGTATCCGACTGGCCACCATTCACTAAACTCTTTCGTACGTCGTCATTGACGGCGACGTCATGCTCTGATACTGCTTCCCGTGCTGTGAATATTTTTGAGCTGTTGGTTAAACACACCCACATGAGCACCTTCATCTAATCTCACAGGGCCGTTAATTTCCAATGCCAAAGCCTCAAAGCCATCCCACAACGAATTTTCCCTGGCCATAAGCCGAGCTAGTCCCATTTATTCACAATGAAATTGAATTCTCGGCTCCCGTACGCTGTCTGACGTGAATCCTATTAAGCAATCATCGTCTTCTATTCTGTTTCCGTCGAATTAATTTATTAATTCGAATCGATTCACAACAATGCGTGACAGCTTGCTGATCGTATAACACGGTAGTAAAAAAGGAAATTCGTCAGAATCTGGTTCACACAGTTGACTGCCAAATATTTTAGCCCGTTCACGATCCGCTGTCCACACCAACTGAAGCGCTGTCGTCACTTTTGGATACATTCTCGTCACCGATTTCTGACAACAGTGGCGGTTTCTCAATTGGTCATCTCACTGGATCTCCATACAAACAAATGGCAAGCTCGAATCGGTAAGTTCTTTTTTGGCAATTAAAATTCATTCTAGAGTTTTCAATTACACTTGATTCAGATTTGCCCAGCCTAGTCGTAGGGCATTTGGTATAATGTCGTCCCACTATGAAGCCAGTAATTCACCTGGCGCTCCAGGAACGCCTATAAATGGTGAGCGATGTGAAGTTACAATTGTCTGTTTTCGTATTATGTATTTGATCGCCCTTTTTGTTTTCGTATGGACCCGGCACTGCGGCAGTGTACCTTTGGAAGAGGAATTCCCGCGTCCTGTTGACGACGAGAGATTTGCTTCGATAAACTGAGTGTGTGAGCTGCTTGCTTAGAATTGATGACAGTTTTCCGGCTGTTATTTGCAGCTGTGCATACATAGATTCGGGCGGTCTTGGTATCGGTCATAAGGATTTCGGTTCCCTGGGGTCTGGAGAAGTTTAGAAGCTGCATCTGGAGAACTGATGGTTCCCATTAAAAGTTGAAATGATTTGCGAGCGAGGGGTCAAATTCCTCACTACGCTGTGGACACAGAAGAGCTTAATTTGTGGTCAGAGAATCAAGGTTTTCCAAATTATTGGTTAGATAGAAAAGCTATACGAAGTTAGTAAAGTGATTACGGTGGAAGAGGTAACGCTCAAGTACCATCCTATATTGCCACTACTAGAGATCGCCAGTACGCTTTCCTAACCCTGACCCAGTCGACTAAGTAGTGATGTGTACTGCTAAAAAGTGCTCTTAAGCACCTGAGATGGTAGCAGTACCAGGAAACATAGATAAAAGATGCTATTGAACCAGTGTTCTTACGCAAGTGATGCTTTCGAAATGTTGAGCGCCCTGTATTAAGTAGTTTACCGCACATGAGGAGCTGAAAGCGGAGTCTCTCTTATCAAATATACTGAACCGCAACTTCAGCAAACAAATCTTTTGACACATAAAAAGGTAGCCGTGTTAACAAAGCCATCAAGTAATGTATGCGTAATTTGAACGTCCGTGTTTACAAACTATTATTTATGCAGTGAAAGCAGGGCTAATGAGCAGTAAAAAAGTACTTTTCATATCAACAAGTTTTTTGGTCGGCGAATCTTGTTATGCATGAGTTTCTTCACTTCAAGTGCAAAAGGATTTCCAATTCGTCGCTCATCAGCAATCTTGCGTTGTACCATAAAAATTCAATCCAAATCTTTGCTTTGAATTTCATTTGGAGCCCTAAAATTGTTAGAAGGGTAAAGCTTGGGGTATTGATCCAACTTTCTGGGATACTCCACGCACTCGATTTTAAGCAAAAATTTGAGGGCAAGAAGGCGGATGCGGTGTGGGGCCAGCCCATGTTCAGGGCAGCATCCTATCCCTCCAAAAGAGTGTGGTACCAGTTAATGCACTATGAGATTAGAACGCTAAGTTCGCCTGAGTTTAATCCCATCCGGAATTTGACTGCCATCGTGCACGTGGTAGGTGTCACCATTTGCTACCTCCGCCACGATTGCAAAATAGAGCGATATCTTGGAATCTTGTATGCATTTAAATGTGTATTTTGGTCTGCATGTTGGTCAAAAGGACTGCTCATTGTTCTTGTCAGCGCTTTCATTTTTCAAATAGCTTGAGGCTGTCCATCTAACTTTCTGAGGCCTCATCCCAACTTGTAAGCCTTCATCTTGCAGAAGGTCCGATATCAGATGTTTGCAAAATGTTAGCGACAACTTTCATATGTCAATTCATTCGGAGCATTTTCTACAATGCACCGTTCAAAAAGTGCAGCGTATTATGCGTGAATAGTTTTGTTCGCTCACAAAGTCCATTATTTCCTTCATGGATTCTATCGAGGGCGTAAGTTCCCGTTAAATTAGCTTTTTGTGCTTGAATCAACAACCGGCAATGTTTCGCTTGATGAGTTCGATTTGCGTTTTCTAGCGCGTATAAGGGAAGTGGGAGGGTGGATGTGAGCTCGTTCTCAGAAACGACTTCTCTCATAGCAATCCCGCTGTCGTGATCATTTTCCAATATTCTGCGTTGAAGACTATTTTTGTTATGCTTAAATTAGCAGAAAGCTCATAGAAGGTGTGTTGTGAATCTGCAGCTAACCCTTTCTGTTTTCAGGCTCTTCCATGGCATCGGTCAATATGAATCACCTTGTTGGCGTAGTTACTTTACCACAGCATGCTCCACCACCGAAGAATCCTAAGCTGTACAAAACGGAGTTGTGCCGTTCGTGGATGGACCATGGTCGTTGTAATTACGGGGAAAGGTATGGCTTCCCACGTTTGGAAAATTCAAACCAGCCCAGTCGTTTGTGATTAAAATAATGCGTTTTGCAGATGTCAATACGCTCACGGTGAACAAGAAAAACGTCCGATTCCGCGTCATCCAAAGTACAAAACCGAAGCGTGCCAATCCTATCATCAGTCCGGTTATTGCCCATATGGTCCACGATGTCATTTCATCCACAGGTGTGCTTTGGTTTTTCTCTCTTAATTGGCTCGGGAGGTGATGAGGTGTACCATTGGTATAGTCGAGCGAATATTATCGGGGAGTAAGCGTGTGATAGTCAAGTAGGGGACAGAGAAGGGCCAGGTTTGATATTTATGGATTTGGGTTTGGCAGACAACCTAACCGAAGAGACTCTTCTCTTCTTATGTTTTGGACAACCGACATGTCCAAAACATAAAAGAAAGAGAAGGAGGACCCAATTGTCGTTTGTCGCCTGGTGTTGATTAAACTCTCTCGACGGTCGGAAGAGGCTGAGCTCGAGCTCTAATTTCCATGCCTTCAGCCTCTCATTCTTCTTGCGAGCAAAGGAATCACTATTTTCTCAGTGTTCAACCCATTTTGCATCCATGCACACAACACGCATCTTGCGCACTCTACGTTGTGGACGTGTCGGTGTCTGCGTCACTCCTATCCTCAACGCTCTATCATGCCCGATTCTGTTCTCTCCTCGGCGTCTAGTTTCTCTCAGTTTGTCTCCTCTGACTGCCCAAGGGGAGACCCCATATTTTCGAGTTTTCGATGATTTTCGTTTCTCTCCATTTAAACAGTTCAATTCGCACCGATTCTTTTGATTTCGAGCGCGCTAAATGCAGATAGGTAGTGTGCAGTGTGCTTCTCGGAGTAAGCTGGGCATTTACTTGTGCACCTCATTTTGTTCAATGTGAATCCGTAACGGAACCGAGAGAATGAAGATAGGAGCTTAAGTGGTGGTAGTACGCGGGTGATAAATTACCGATGGTATTTTGTGGTGTCCCCCAACAGGCCCACCGCGCGGCGAAGCAAGAGACGCAGATGCGGCAAAGAGACGAGTTGCAGCGCGTGCTGTGCGATATGAGACGTAGTATGGTACACTCTCTTTAACCTGACGCCTAACCGCTACAGTATGCGCTGCGACTCGTCCCTTTGCCGCGTCTGCGTCTCTTGCTTCGCCGCGCGGTGGGCCTGTTGGGGGACACCTTTAGTTCGTTGCAGTTTGTGGTTGCGTTGGATTCTGAGGTGACTGATTTTTTGTTCAATACAGGATTGTTCATTATGCGGCTGAACCGATATGTGTTTATTTTAGCGAGACGGATCTTCTTCTCGCGAATCTTCCGAATCCGCCATCGTCGTGTGCACCGTCGATACGCTCCAATCACAACACGTTTGCTCCGATGGCCTGCTCACAGCAACTGTCGTCGTCGTCGTACGGAGCCCCGATGAGTCGGTCATTAGGTGGAACACAAGCGAATGCGCTATGTATGTCACGATCCATTTGCTATTTTTTTTTCAATTTTTCATAGATACGATTTTAGTAGGCAGCCCTATGCTTCAACGCCTGTCGTCATTGCCTAGCTATGGCAGTACTGGTGAATCAATGGCTGGTAGTAGCAGTTCTGCTGATAGCGGATCAGAATCACCAAACGGGAGCTTTTCACCGGGACTCGATCTGGACGATGGAGGTTCGTTGAATTGCAAGGCTTTTTAGCCTAGTAGTGGTGTTTGAACGTATTTGATTGTGGAAATTATGTCCAAGCCAATGCAATAAATCTCTCATATTAGGTTCATTCGGCACAGGGTTTATGGCACCGCTTCCGGCCAATCAACGAAGCATGGCTGAGCAGTTGCCTAACTCGATGAATTACGACTTGAGTCGGTAAGTGGTAATTCACTTGAGACAAGAGATATCTTATCGGTCAGCAATTTTCGTACGTCTAAAGATAGGTGGAATCTTCATAATAGCACTCTTATTGCCAGTGCTATCAAAGCGCAGTGTTGACGGAGCGTTTTATGTAGTGCTTGGTGTTTTATGGCAGCAATCAGTGGAATTACGTGGTAGCCCCCGATAGAGCTAAAAAGAGTTGTAGAGGGATCAAGGTTGATTTCTGAACAGGATGAATTGTTTGCCTATCAAAGGATCAAGGATGAGCATACCAGAAGAGAGGAGGGGTAGTTTGCGGTGTTTGAGTGCAACGTCTTGATCGTCCTGCCCATATCTCATATTTAACGAAGATATGAGAAGGGCTTTAGCTTTCGATATGTGGAAGTTGTAAAGTGAGGTTTAAGTACGATCATGGTAGGCTAATAAGAGCTGACCTCTAATCTTGGAGAGGCCCATACGAAGGCATCGCTCCGGGAGGGGAGGGTGGTGAAGGGAAAGATCAGTGTTCAGAAGTACAAAATTTGAAAACATTGGAACGGGGATAAACAACCATGAGTGTACACTCCATTTAAAAATTGTGAATTGCGGAAGTTAACATCTGATAGCAGTTCCGTTTTTGTAGGATTTGTTTACAGGTAAAGGCCATATGACTGGGGAGCGCTTTGTAATAATGGTGTCGAGAAAACGAGCCGTTTTTATTTGTTTTACGATGGCGTTCTCCATTTCCTATGGTTGCTGGATTCAGTTGTGTAACTGTAAATGCCTGATTAAGATTGAGAAGGGTCAAAAAAGTGAAATATTATACTTTGCTTAAGTGAGTGGAGCTTTGTCGGAATAGTCACGGCACCTTTCTTTGGAAACAGTTCCGTTTCTTTTCGAAGGAAGGACAAGCATGCGTTGCCGTGGTAGGGAGGGGTATAGCAATAGCAAAGGAGAACACTTCCGTCATACCACGCTTGATTTTTTTCGAGCTTCGGCAAATTTGGGGGTTCACTGCTGAGGTAACAACCCGCATTTTTTCTTTCCCTTCTTAAGATAGTGATTGTGATCCTTGGTTCTTCATGTTTGAAGTGAGATGATCCACGAAATTTGAGATTGGGGAAAAAGCACTGTTTACAGATTAACACGTTGACGACATCGCGTGTTTTGGCATTTTGCACCGCGTGGGACAGGAGCGATTTTGCGAGCGCGCCGTCCTCACCTTACTTCCGCTTATTTTTTGTTTAAAATGCACAACAACTTGAATAGAATATTTCGGCAAGGATGAAAGCATAAAGGTTAACTATATAAATAGCAGTAGATTTTTGTTTAGAAGAACGCATAATGACCACGAAGAAGCAAAAAATCACTTTCGCTGCGAATGAAGTTAAAAGCATTTATACCTAAGTTCTTCCATCAAATACAAATATCTTGAAACTCACAGAGTTTTGTATTAACTGCTTCTACAATCTTTCATATGAATGTTTACGACAGTGAAAGGAATACTAGGAAAGAATTGAAATGAAAGTTTTGTGCGTTCAGAAAATCTTTGCTAAATCAAGGGATATTTGACCACTCTGGCTGCCATGTGGTTATAGTTATGCTAATGTATTAT